TGTTGATACACGCCTTAGGTGTTTAGCGCCATAGATGAATTTCACCTGTCTTTGGCGTTGGTTCTATTCTGCGTACCCGTTTTAGATTATGTTACCGCTGGTCTGATGAATCAAATTTGCATTGAGGCCAATAAGTGACAGTTATTTCACTTGGTAAACGAGAAGTTACGGCGTCTGTCGAGTTTAATCGGCTCCGGGTGCTGACCTGGATGCGCACCGCAAACTTCTGCTTCTTACGGATAACCCGGTGGGGAAACTGAATGGGAGCAGGCGATTAGAAAGGTCATTTCGCTTGCATTCATTTGCACCCCGCATCACTGAGGGAATTCCGACGGCCAACATGCTTCTTCCATGAGTCCCACTTGATTAACTACTTGTCAAGGACCACATGTGCACATGGTCAGAAGAATGCCAGTGGGCTTTCGGCTCCCTTAAATCCATCCCAGCCTCCGATCTGTTACTCACTTCAACAATGTGTTTCTGGGGTGCTTCGTGTCGTCGGATGCTTTTCGTTAGTTCACTGATGCATTGCTTCTGCGTTTACTTCGAGCAACTAGCCAGAGGGGTAATGCACATGTGGTCAGATCCAGCTAAGCACAATAACAGGCAGAAAAGAAGCCATCGGTGACCGCATGATTCATTAATTGTCGTTCGACCATCGATTCATCTTACCAGCCACTCACAGACAGCTGTTTGCTGTTTTTGTTTAGAATCAAACTCTATTCAGAAGTGCTAAACGCCCCCAACAATGAGCTGCCCTTAAGATAAAACTTCAGGCTCACCTTCGGGTTGTCAAATGTAAATGATTCAAAGAAGCCAGAACCAGAGGAATCTGTGGGTGGAACAGCTGGCTCGAAGCCCTGAGTAAGCTAGTTAGGACCGAACACGTTTCGAACCCTTCTAACAGCTACTAGAACGATCTGTCAGATTACTGACCTAGACTCTACTCTGAAGCAGATCTATAAGCACTCCCCAGTCAATGACAATGAACCTGTTTACAAGGTGCTTTGAGACGCGGGTAATTTCCACTTACTGGTAGAATCCCTTTGTCTTCAGTGTGTGTTCTCATAAAGTGTTTTTATTCCGATTATACTCGGGCATTTTCAAAAAGGGCATCGCAGAACGCACAGAAGCATGCCGTTGGCAAGGAGTTACGTCAACTGGCCCCTGATGGACTTCCGGAGCACACAGACATTGACTGCAGTTGGAGGACTGCTGGAGCCCAATCGCCTGCGAATAGCTGGATGCGGGCAGAAAGCTTGCCCGTGAGCTCAGCGAAAAACACCTTAAATGTCTATTTGGGTGTGTCTTCAATCGGTGCAGCAGAGTGCTGCGTGAGACTTAATTTGGTCCGGCAGTTAGATCCGACAAGCAAATCCTTTCCGGCCCGCAGGTGCGCAGATCCTCTCATACGAACCGGGCTTCCTGAGGCTAGCAATGCTTCTGGATGTCCCTGGTCTCCAATCCACGGTAGAAACCCAACCCGCTGCTTCGTCTCATGCATCAGGGTCGGCTAGACGTACATTCAGGATACGCAAGCTAGTCTGGTCACCGCAAGTTACTCTTGTCACCGCCAGTAAGACACTGATTACGAAGGTGTCTCGATAGACACGAAGGAGGAGAGGCTAGCCAAAAACTAACGCTAAAATCAAACTGCCGCTTACGATTAGGCACTGTGGTAACCAGTAATTCCCCCTAATTTTCCACTCAGGACGAAAGAATGACGTAACCCTCGTTGAGCGTGTCCAATAAGCTGCTACGGAAATGGTTGCCGGCTTTAAAACCGTTGGTTGTGAAACACGTATCGTAGTCCGCGAACTCCTCCACCTGGAGCACTGCCACCTTTAAAGAGGCCCAATACTCCATTATGCCAGTTTGAACAAGGTATGGTCAGCTGCTTTTACACCGTTGACCTAACTAACACACGGCGGGTATATGTTAGAGAGATTTTCATGCACAACGACCATACTTTTATTAGGCGACAACTTTTCTCATTTCGAGTGGTTGGTGCGTGAAACAGTCTTACTCCGACGCTCGTTGACGCTGCATTGAGTACCTAGTTTGAAGCACTTTTGTATGCTTTTTATGTGAGTCCTCGTTCTTGCTGGCTTATTGCCTTTGCTGGGGTTTTAGAGAACAGTGCTACACCCTACTTCGCCTGTGCGTCAAGTAAACGGAAGCCGCTGGACGGAAAGAACAAACCTTGGGAGAAAGTTCCGATCCTGTACATCAATCCATGAATCCGTGGGGACATGCACGGGCCAGTGACCGGTCTGAAAAAATTCCGAGTTCTGATTGGTCGAAATAAAGTTCCGGGTACGCATGTACGGACATTGGCCATCGCCGAGTACCTTTGATGTAGGGCACTTACTGGTTTGCCTAATTCATATGTAAGTACTGGTGATGTGCAACTTTGACTAACGGGCTTCGGCTCATTAGTCATTATCATGAACCTTCGGAGGAACCCAAATTTTTAGCGCACTGGCTACATGCATGTATGCGCCTGGGAGACAGCAGTTCCCTGAAGGCACGGGTTCATAACAGTTTCTGAGGATAAAAAACGGTGCTAGAGGTGTGGTGCGTGAGGGTTGTGAGCGTCTACAAACAAGCACAGCAACCTCGAGTTTGCTGCTCCTGGGAGTTCGTCAGCCGAAACGCGCTAGTGTGTTTACTCTAGCTCCTGTGCGCACTAGTATTGATCCAGTTACTTTGGGGTAAAACCACCAATGGGAGGTAACCTTCTTCGAAGAGACACCAAATGTGTATTATGCATGCCATAGAGGTAACGTGGGGCGTGATTCTCGACGGCTCACGAGGATTTCTGTGGATGGAAAATGGAAAGAATTACTATCTTTCAAACGGACCCTCCAATTAGAGGCCAATAAAAAACTGCTTGTTGAGGGACATTTAACTTCTTTATTCCATTCTGAAAAGACCACATAAAGGCATCTTCCAAAAGTGGTGTCTCGAAATGCCTTTATTTTGAAAGGACTTGACTGCTAAAATGTGTTTTAGGAGGCCGATGGGAAGTGATTCCATCTGATTGGTGATCTCTAAAAACGGTTCCAGATGATTAACTCCGTTAGGCGACCAGGGGGGAGGGGCAGACAACTGAATCTCCTCCAGGCCAACTGAAGTGCTTCTTTAAGAGCTGGTCTTTTTAGGGAGTTCTCTACCGTCAAGTTTTGGTCCGCTGTGGAATTCTGAGAAAAAACCTCCTAAAATTAATAGAATTTGGTCGGATTTACGTCTGGTTTAGGTGTGGTTTCGTCTAATATATTGCCATATGCATTCTATGGATAAATTACTTATAAATGTTGGTGTCAAGCGGTGTACTTTGTTGGCGTCTGTTCAACAACTTCTAATAATACCTCCCTCTAAAACTGACTGATTTTACTTGGTCCTTTGGGACGTTACTAAGTGTTTGAATCCCCCCAGTAGAGACTATTTTTGCGCCAGAATGGTGCTCGTTCAAAGCCGTACCTGACCTGAATGATCACTTATATTTGGTAATACTTAAAAAGTGTAGGTTTCCACACAAATGGCTCTCTACGTAGCATGCTTCTGCTTAATTTGTCCGTTCGTCTCAATCGCATCACTCAACCAGTTCTACAAATGCGCTATTGAGATCGTCGACTCAGAACTGTCGAATCTGAAAGGCAAGAGGACACTGACTTGGGGAGGGGGGATTAATAGCATATGGGATGCATGAAAGTGGATAAGCGAAGGGAGTCTGTGTTTAGAACTACGATGATCGACAGTATGTCGATCTCGTTTGGCTAATGAACAAGACTAACCACGATGGCGCAGATGGCTCATGAACGGATGGACCACAGTCACCTTTAAAGCAGCACAGACCCATGGGCTTGGTTTAGCAGCAGGATTTCCCAGCCCAGTTTCTTCACTTATTCGGAGGATCAACAAGTAGACCTTCCAGCACAGGAGCGCTGATGCTTACATTTCACTATGTACTCTATCGGTTTGTTGCCTTGTTAACGTATAACTTGATATGTGCTTTAGGTGTTACGACTAGGGAACGCATGTTGTGGAGTAATTTGTTGAGGCATATGATGGAATTACTTTGATATACCTTGATCACCATCGGTCAAGTGTGCGCTTTGCCTGGCATCTCATAGAGTCAACCATAAATGAAAGTTCCAGCGACCCTCCAGATTCTGTTTCCCCTTACGAATGAAATAAAATTAAGAAACATAATCATTCAGCTGCAGTACCCTTTCGGTGCCTAACTGCCATGCCACCAGAAGGAAGCAGGAGAGCTGGGATACTGCCAGGTTGCTCAAACCTAGACAGGGGAAGTCGAGAGGCAGAGGTCGGGTTTGATCCACGGGCCTTCCGGTCAGTAAATTCACGCCCTGATCACTGAGCCATCTTGCTGGTATACGTTTACTTGGCGAGCCATGTTCACTCTTTTCGCTCGTCTTCCTGTCCATGCTACTAATTTTTATCTACGTTGTCTGAGTGAATGGCTAGAGATGCGGCTATCTCGGATATTTGTGGCGGGCTATTACCAGGTCCACTTCCCTATTATTTTTATTACAGGACTTTATGTGGATATACTGATATGGTTTGCATGGTAGTGGGCCGAGATGACTCAAGTGGGTAGAGCGTGAATTTACTAACCGGAAGGTCCGTGGTTCGAGCCCGACCTCTGCCTCTCGACTTTGCTTTCCCTGTCTAGGCTTGGGTAACCTGGCAGTACCTCAGCCCTCGTGCTTCCTTTGGGTTGCATGGCAGCTAGGCACCGAAAGGGTGTTACAACTGAACGACTTATTTATTTTTGCATGGTAGTTGTTTGCCATTCGTATTCTAGTGTGTATTTGTATACCAGTGCTGCTGCTTGTGATGATGCTACTGACTATTTCCAGATGGGCACGTGAGGCTTTTATTGGCTTAACTGAAAGTTAGCATCCGCGTCTTATCGTTTCCCACTTCACGCTTCTTTTGATTTTTAGCAGCCCTCGATCAGTCGGGATAGTTAAATGATTAGAGCCGTTTTAATCTTCAACAATCAAGGAAAGCCAAGGCTGCTGAAGTTCTACGAACACTACGTAAGTTATTTATTTATTCGCTTATTTGTGTGCAGACCGAAGAACAGCAACAGCAGATACTAAAGGAGACTTTTCAGCTGGTATCCCGTCGGGATGATGATGTGTGCAATTTTCTCGAGGGTGGCACGTAGGTCGTTCCTTCTGTCTTGACCTTCTGTCTTTCAAGGCTCGCTGGTGGTCAGGATTATCGATTGATATACCGGCATTATGCCACACTTTATTTTGTCTTCTGCGTCGATTCATCGGAGAGTGAACTGGGAATATTGGATCTCATTCAGGTCTTTGTTGAAGCTTTGGACAAGTGCTTTGAAAATGTGTGTGAGCTGGACTTGATATTCCACGTTGATAAGGTTAGTCTGATCGTCTGGGCTGTACATATCCTAGTACAGGTTCACTATATTCTCAATGAGATGGTGCTTGGTGGTATGGTTCTGGAGACCCACATCAATGAGATTACTACGCGCTACGATGAGCAGTTGAAAATTGAAAAACAAGAAGTAAGCGTCAAGTTGCACATCACTTTGTCAGTTCGACATTATGTGTAGTTCTGTTTCTTGAACAAGCAATTCGACTTGTACGTTAGCGACAGTAATGGTTAACAAAAAGATGTTGGGGTTAAGCAATAGTGAAACAGCGCAACTAAAATTCGCAAACTCGGTTGATATTGTTCGCGGCTGGACGCCACTGAGCCAGAGCTAAAATGAAGGATCAATACAGGAGTAGCAGATAATTTGTAGTCCGGGTAACCGTGTCCTGGTTTTTCGAACATGACTGGACCGATATGAAGATAGGTAAGGTGGCCAAGCATCAGGGTGCTATGCATTCCTGAAAGGATTTCTCAAAAGTATCAACATTGCTGGGCTTGCCCTATACTTAAAAGCATAGAGGTGGGATTAGTGGGGACGTAGAACTGAATCTGACGGTACTTCTCACACGGGACATCACAAAGCTGAACGGCTTTCACACCTAGTTCGTAGTTGGTATATCAAGACCCTACAAGAAACCTGACCTTGATAGTCGAACCAAACAACTGTGCTCAGATTTCCAGTCGTCTGCACGCAATGTACCTCAGTACACCTAGGTTAATCCCTGAAATGATGTAGTATGAGAGAAGAGAAATTAATTTTTTTGGAGTGAGTTTGGAGCTTCGTCGACAGTCCAATGCTGAGCAGTCTAGTTGCGCACGTACGTTTGTGCTTTCAAACAACGGACGAGCAGAACTGTGCGTTCAACACGCGCTTGTTCTATGTTAGCTCTACCAAGGAGGATAGATCTCAACCCTCTTAAACAGCCTGGGAACTGCAAATTCGTCGGTTGCTTGGTATGGACTTTTCGCTCCTACCATTTGTGATGAATCCTACAAGGGATCTTTGAGTTGTATGCTCCTTACGAGGTGTAATTTGCTGTCATGTAACAGTTTTTTAAGCAGCTTCCCAGGATTCAGATAAGCTGTTCATTTACTATATGGCCTTTTGTTCGTTGTATTTTTCTGGGAAATCTATGGTAAGGTGGGGTTCGGGGTTCGATCACTGATCAAAGCGAGTATCCTAAGCAATTCAGCAGCAGTACACAGCCACTAACCTGCCAGTACTGATACACTATCACTTAATGCATAATACCAATTCACGTAGCTATTGATGTATAGCATATTAATATATGCTATGCCAGTCTTATCCAACTACGTGCTTACAATAGATTCCACTGTACTTGTACTCGTTGTAGCCCTTCCATGGTGTATATTTGAATACCCAATGCCTTATGGTTATGATACACTCAAGAAGCATAGATTGGCTCCACTTACAGGACGAAATCTCCTCAAAAAGACCTTTTTGTCTTTGGTATCGTTTTACTATTAGCCGTCAATTCAGTCATATCATCTGATGATTCTAATTCAAAGAATTCGTGTCCAATTACTCGAGCAACCATTTCCTCCTCATTCAGTCGGTTAACTGGTCACATTTCGCAGATTAGGTTGGTTGGGCCATGTACTTTGTATGTCAGAAGACCGTTCAACTAGCAGTGTCCTGTTTGCCCACACATGCATCGAACAGAGCCGATCCAGGACCGATCAGTCCATGAGAATGAAAGCCCTTGCCAGTCAGCTCACTCGCGTCTGTAACCATCTCCACAAATTGGGACCCCGGGACAAGACAGACTACTGACTAATGGCCCTGACAGTTATGGCTGTGTTATGCAACCAATGACAATCTTACATCAAGGTGCAGATCCGTCGGTGCTTGTCATAACCGGGCAAACCGAACTATTTAAGTTCAATCAACTGACTGGGCCGTCGTCTCCAGCTGTAACAGATGGGACCACTGTACTTTGCTACACAGTTTGTAGCTGAAAACAACTGAAGTGTAGGTCAGATATGGCTCAACATTGAACTAATAGAGTATTCAAACATAAAATAACGTACTTCTGTAAATTTTCATGTGCCATACTATCCACATCGAGTTTCGTATTCCTAAACTATCGGAAGTCTGTTGTATTCCAGTAGCTGCTCTGCGGTTTACCACATTCACTTCAATGGCTTCTAGTTCCTTCGCTCCACTGTTGCTACAATAAGGTTCTTGTCGGCGTCTCTTTTGTTCTTATGCTTGTTGTTCCTCGGCGTTTAACCGGGGGTGCTCAAGGCACCAATCAGATTGTGAGCTACTATGGTTCGTCACTGTTGTAGGCCTCTATTAAAACAGTTTTTCGTTTCCGTACCTGTTCGTATGGTTTCCGTTGTCATTGTTTCATCTTTTTCGTTGGATTGCTTTGGCTACCTGTATGCGCTACACCGTTTTGGTCTCACTCAGGCGCGTAGCTTTCCTCAGTTTAAGTTTGTGCAATGCTTGTTGTTCCTCGGCGTTTAACCGGGGGTGCTCAAGGCACCAATCAGATTGTGAGCTACTATGGTTCGTCACTGTTGTAGGCCTCTATTAAAACAGTTTTTCGTTTCCGTACCTGTTCGTATGGTTTCCGTTGTCATTGTTTCATCTTTTTCGTTGGATTGCTTTGGCTACCTGTATGCGCTACACCGTTTTGGTCTCACTCAGGCGCGTAGCTTTCCTCAGTTTAAAGTTTGTGCAATCTTCGTTTTGCTTCCCTGTGCTCACTGCTCTCCCACTGTTGGATTGTTTACAGACTGGAATTTCAGGAGCACCTGCGAGAGCTGTCTCAGCGGTCCGTGATCTAAATCTCCATCAGAAGTTCAAAGAATTTCGCTTTCCTGATATACCCTCCTTACAGAGTAAACTTTCACGCTGACACAGTGAACAATTAAAAAACCAGAGCTGGTTCAAAACCGTCATTTTATTTTCTGTTGTTTCATGTCTCTAAGTGTGATTTACTTCTGGAAACAACTACTTCGGAACTCCAAGTGTTTCTACTTTCATGCCTCCTTACTGTTGGTTGTCTGTTGATTTACAAGTGTACAGTGCTGTAACATATCGAGCGTACCTACTTGGACATTATGACTTCTTGTTTACACTTTTTATTGAGTACCAGCCTTTTCGGGTCTCCAGATATTGAGAGGGAGAATTTTTTGACCATAGCCACATTTGTGTTGTGCATAGCACACCGAAACGATGTAGGTTTTAAGTGTTGCGTAATTTTATTGCATTGATGCTGTGCATGTGCCTCCTTTCATGCATAAGAACGGAAATGAGCCAGGTTACTTAAGCTCGGAAGAAAACGACTGAAATGTTTGGGACGGAAGTGAAACACGACACGCTAGTGCAATAGTCTGCGATCATTCCGAAACAAAGGGTTTATTGCCCTCCGTACATTGCCCAAAGGGGCCAAAAGTTTTAAAAAACCTAAATGAACTTGAAGAGGAATCGGCTACATTATGGCTAATATCGGAAAATTGGGCGTTGTGTGCGGCGCTGTTCGATGAGCGTTTGAAAACAGGTTTGGAAAGGCTTTTAATCTGGTATGCATTCGGTTTTTGGCTCTGTAGTGGGCTTTTTAGTGCGCCAGAGGAGCGAATTTTAACTTCACGGTTTTTAGCTAATATTTGCAGAGAACTATCAGCTGATATCGTTCTAACCACTTCTCTAGACGCGATTGAGAACTAATAGTTGGTAAAAGGAACAGTACCATATTGAAGATAAACAACATAAAGCCGATGAAACAAAGAACATACGAAGTGGCAATGTAATTTTCAATTAACATGGTTCTGGTTCACCCTTTTTCAATTTTTCCGTCATCACCTTTAGTTTCGCCACCTGCTCGCTATTAGAAGTTGGATTGGCTTGATTATCCACTGTCTTCAAACGGCTACCGTAGCTTTAGCAGAGAAAATAGAGGGATTCAGTTCATTTGACTACGGCTGCTGAATGTAATTGACGGGAAACAGTCTGCCACTGTTAAGAGCAGGACAACTATCTGACCACTTTAAACCAAAACTGCATTCGTAACCCCATAGATATGGTTCAAAGTATGTCACGACATTTTCTTTTCCAGTTTAATTTGCATCTGAAGTATTCTGAGTGGATCTAACAAAGTAGTCAACCTCGACCCGTTTTTGTAAAACACCACCAAGCTCAAGATACGGCCTAATAGGTGATGCTAGGGTGCTACAGTTGGTTCCAACCGGGAACGAGGGCCTGTATATGCAGCACGTCAGTGCAGTTGCTTGGATGCTTAAGGATATCTTTTGGTATGCATAGCTAAATTTCGCGTAAGCAATAGTAACTGTGACTTGTTTTACGGCGACATGAGCTACACTCTTGTTGAGGTTTTACCAAACGAGAAAACGTGATCATGATAGCAAAATACTGGTATTGCTGTTCGGTTGACGATGCTCAAACACACCCCAATGTTACGAAACTTTTATCTAAATATATAAGGCAATTTATGTTTGAGACAGACGGAAACTGTCGGACTGTCAACATTTCGCAACCCATGTCTTCACATTTTTCAAACGGAGTTTAAAAAAGTTAAAAGTTGAAGTTAAAAGTTTAAAACAGTTGCCGTAAGTCGCAATGCAGGTAGTCCACATACCTGCATGATTAATCAGCGTTTCAGGCATTCAGAATGAAACCGAATATAACCTTTCATTTGCAGCCGCTTTCCAGTGAAACACAAGGTCAATAGAACAGGGTGATTAGAAGCACAAAGTTGAATTTATCGGAGAAATCTTTGATTAAGTCAAATTCAACCTGAAATGCAAGGGGTATATTACTTGGTTTCTCCGGGAAAATCGATTATTTTATTGCAATACGGCCGAGTATGCATGAATTACATTGGCCTCCATTTGGAGGGATCATTTTGTGGATCTGATCGAATGTGGTTTCTTGAGGCATGAGTTTCACTGTTAAATTGCGCTTCAAAGGGCTTAAGAAGTGGAGCATTCTGTGGGATATCTTCTGTGAATTATGGAAGCAGGAGGTTATGCCCCTGTGCATAAGTTCTGCACGAACACAATGGGTTGTAGAGCACAAAATATTTGTTGCAGAGAACGGCAATGCAGTTCCAGTAAAAAGCTCGTTTAATTCGATTCACTCACTTCAAAGAATTTATCGTTTCTGGCATTTTAGCCTCCGTTTCGTTTACGGTGGTGATCATAAGTGTTTTCGCGTTTCCACCCAAGGAATCCTGCATCAGTTTTGTCAGTTTGCTACTTTCGTAGGGGACATATGGCTGGGACAGCGTTAGGGAAGTGATGACATCACCGAGTGCGACCAAGGATTGATCTGTCTCCTGGAACCATAAGTAAAAGTTCACATAAGGCTGACTTACTTTTCGGCAGTTGCCCATTGAAAATCTGATAGAGAGTAGGTGATAGATACTAGCATCAACTCGAAATCAATTAATTTTCTCTCCACTTAGAGCTCATCAACCGGCGTTCTTTCCCGGAATCAACTAACTTGAGCGAAATTTCTGCTATAAATAAATGATTTCGTAGCCCTAGAGAATGCCGTTTGTATCGCGTTGAGGAGATTTCTCTTCATAGCAGACAATTTTCAGTAAAATTCTTAAACGAGGAAGGCGTCCGCTACGTTGTTGTAGAATGAGAAGAAAGTCAACTTCATCAGAGAAGGTGGAGGAATTTATGACTACTGGAGACACTTTTCCTTGGAACTGGCTTAGTTTTGACAACCAAAAGTAGGTAGCTTGGATAACATTATTTAAGATCAATAGTACTGCGAATCTAAAAACACACTAGTCATTGTACATGAGCAACCATATCATTGGAATGGCAACTACGTTTGGATACTAGAAGTAAAATAATAATGCGATGATTACTTTGCCACATACTCTTATTTGCACACTAGTTTGGTTTTAGGGGGACTCAACTGAGTCCAGCTGAGTCTATGTCAGTCTTCTTTGACTGAATATGCAACACCCGCCAGCCCAATGCTACAATTTGTACGATATTCGACATTTCGCAAAACATTATCTAGATGTGACATACTACTAACTAAAACATGAGCGAATTGGTGCAGTATATCAAGTTGAAGAGGACCATCATAAACAGATGATTCAGCTGAGTTCAGTTGAATGTGCAAATGAGAGTAGTTGATGAATTTCGTCCAGTTGGAGTTTAAGTATAACATGGGTCCGACGGAAACTCGGGGACTACGCCTACCTGATGAGCCCAAGAAGAGCGATCATAAACAGATGATTCAGCTGAGTTCAGTTGAATGTGCAAATGAGAGTAGTTGATGAATTTCGTCCAGTTGGAGTTTAAGTATAACATGGGTCCGACGGAAACTCGGGGACTACGCCTACCTGATGAGCCCCAAGAAGAGCGTAACTGGTCGTGGGCTGTCGAATTTTTCAGCAACCTTATGAGTAGTATGTCAAGTCTAGACGGTTAATTACTCATTTTCGATGAATCTGGATCAGGGTAAAACCGATGCTCTTTATTACCTTTGACTCTTTGAGCGATCAACAGTTGGCCCCAATGCCAACAAATTCCTTTTTCTGTCAATGGATATCATATTGCTTCGGGATTTAGGTTGGTTATTTCATGTGTTGAGACAGTTCAGGTACAACCCTTATTGAAATGTGTTTTTCACTGCAGCCGCCTTTTTTCGTTATTCCGATGATTCCGTTGTAGTGTGTGTGTGTGTGCGAGGGGGATTGATACTACCGACTACCATCGCTTGACGCTCCGTTGACTGCTTCGGGCAAGCTCTCATGAAGATCGGCCATCCAGATTGATGTTGAATGAATAAGAATTCCCACAGAAGTTCTTAGTTTGACATTTTTAGAGAGAATATTCATGTCTAAAGGTAGTTTAGCCATTTGGGACACGGATCTACCGGTAAACAGGGATTGAAACGCCGAAAGCATGCGTTAGGCTGATATGCCACAGTCTATTGTGAAGCTACATGTAAGCGTTTGTTATATATGCTGACCAGAAAGACTTAAATTGCGAACAAACAGCTCAGCTAAGTCAGTTGGTGGCATTTACATGGACAAAGAATTGCTAACTAGAAAGAAGAATGATTGTGGATTTCATCCAGGATGTCGATTCCGCCGCAAAACAACAGCTTCTCCGACAACTTTTTCGTGAGTGGTTTGTTGACTTTCCAGTGTATATCAATATGTCCCGTTGTTTCATGTGGTCATTCCGTTACACTCTTATACAGTACCTCAACTGTACCGGTTTTGTGAGTCAAGCCCTGAGTGAAAGATCTCACGGCAATTCGGCGCTCGTGACATACAACCCTATTTGACCTGAATACAACACTATTGACTTGGATCGAATCCTGCATGCAGAAGCCCATTTAAAAAGCAACTGCGTTTATTGGTTGTTGATCAGATGGCTGTTGATCTGTTCGCCAAGCCACCTGATCAACAACCAATAAACTCACCCGAGCTACCAATATTTCACCAACTCCGTTTGTTGATGGTGTCCACATAGCATACTCAGGGGCACTATCCTGGTAAAACCTATCTGCCGGATCGTTATTTCTCTCGTATACAAAATGGACTTTAAACTAGAATTAGAGATGAAATTAGAAATCTCACCTTCAGGGATTCACCAGTCGATCCTGTCGTTGTCGTCCGTTCACTGCCAGCCATATCGATAGCAGTCAACTTGCCGCGGTAGGTGGTTTTTGTTACTTTGTTTGTGACCATCACCATGATGCTGAGGATGAAATGGGACCTTGTGCTATTGTGCTCCAGCCCTATGCATGAAACAGGTGAATCGACATGTTGGCGATCGGATTCACTCGGGGCGTATACAATGGATTACCAAAAAATCGATGGAATTCCTGTTGTTTTCAAGGTTATCCGGCTTGGGATCCAAGAATTTTGGCGGAAGCTAGGAGGCAGCAGTGTGATAAACGACTGCAATCTTTTGGGCCTCTGAATCTACCGCTTCTGATAGTGACGGTGGTACCGTTGTTTTGATCTGCAGTGTGGATCAGTCGATATTTATCCACCAAACTTACTTAGCAAATCTATCATCTTTGCACACAACCCGCCTTACCCCTTTGCCGGAACAGAGTGGTGCTACCGAGGAGCATTTTCTTTTATTTTCGGATGGCAATAGGGATTGTAGGAATTTCCCGTTAACGGGGAACATTGTTGCATGGTCTCCATGAGGTCGATTTCTTTTCGGGACAAAGCCACCTTTTTTTCGGGGGAGGGGGGTTGAACTATTACATACTTTAACGTGGCGTCTGTCTGATGTTTTTTTTGCGATGCGTAGAAATTTTGGATAGTCAATGCAGCTGAAAAATTTGAACATCTTTAGGCTAGTTAATCAATTGTTCAAACGGCCTAAGGCCTATTCGAGTAAAAAGTGTGATCTTGAGCAAGACACATAAGGCGACCGAGTTCTTACAGATTTCTTGAGCAGCAACCAGTGTCAATCGGAAGTAACAGGTGGGTAGATAATATTGCACTCCTTTGTGGTATCGAATTTATTTGGTGTTCATCATCATAAATAGTAAAAAATGCATCTATTTGCAATGAATAAGTAACTTGAGATGGACAGACCTAGTAGGTTGCAGATAATACCGTTGAGCACCATAATGGCGATTGGGTTTTCTGGATGTGCTAGTGTTCCGTTCTTTATCACCACTTTCGGACTGTCATAATTGGGAGCAGATTTGCGTGCGCCTTTTTATGTAATTTCCCAGCCGCATGACGCCACATCATGCGAATGAAACGATCGTCTTGGGCGGGGCGAAATATTTTTGGTTACCCGAATCCATTTCTAAACTGATTACGCAACTGCAGATGGAACAAATAAGGATGGGGTTCCCAAGTTCCAGGATCACACTCATAGGAAGTCGACTTTGATACAGAAATGGGGTTCCCAAGTTCCAGGATCACACTTTGGTACAGGAACCCAAAATTTACACGGTATGGTAAGTGGGAAAAGTTCCCATAGAATAGAGCATTTCAACACTCCTGAATTCAAGAAGGGTGCAAGAACATCGTGCGAAAACCATCTGGACATCAGCCTAGAGACCAGAGCTTCCGAGGTGTTCTCTGGGATTATCCTACGCGGGTTGATCCGTCATCTGGAGGGTTAGATTCACGAGGATCAAGCTGGGTTTCCCTCGAACAGAGGTTGCATTGATCATATTCCCACCTTAGGCAAGTGTTGGAACTGCCACACTCCTTCCGGCGACCAGCAGGCGTCGCGTTTCTCGATCTCATATCTGCAGTTAACTCCGTCGATCGTCAGAAACTGCGGCAGTGTCTGGTGATGAAGGTTGTTCCTTCTCAATTCTTGCCACTTATAAAGACTATATAACTCTTGTGGCCGCATACGCTTCTATGACAAACTCTCTCCTGGGTCCACTGAATCCAGTGTTGTCAAGCAAGGATGTTCTCTGTCTGCCCTCCTCTCCAAACTCGCCACTCAAAGCTGCTTGAATCCTCTTTGTCGACCTGTGCCACGTCTAAGATCGAAGCGCTCCCGGGATGTTTGTTCACGTACATTGGGTAGGCCGACAATGCTCTTCTTGGACCGGACCCTTTGGGAATGCAGACCGCTTCAAATAACCTAAATAAATCTGCTGCACAGTTTGGTTTGCGCTTCATACCCGTAAAGTGAAGTGTTACTATTGTTTGGGTGGGATTGAACCCAAACTTCCTGCTTGCAAGTGAACCGATCGTTGTAGTAGTTGGGTTTTTGCACCTGGCAGCTGCCTAGGTCCCTGTGGTCTGGCGAAAGACGGAATCACTTCCTGGATTGAAAGGGTCAGAGCAGCGTTCACTAACCTACGAAACTTGTGCTGCTGAAGTGTCAGAGCTACCCCCCAGTTCTCCAAGCGATACCAATCTTCCATAATCTAGTGTCTTTCAGTGTCATCATCAGCACACCCTTAAAGAAGTAATGGATAAACTGGTGGTACCTCAGTAAAGGTAGGATCACCGACAGTGTTGTCCACAGGATGGCGTGAGTTGTGACTAGGAAATGGATTAGTTCTTTTGTTGTTGTCCGGCCGATAGACTGAATTACTAACGTATGTGCCTCCACAAGTGCATATAAGGCTGAATATATATCTGGACGGAGTTCGAAGTAGCTCAATGTCAGGACTCAGGCTTACTGACTGAAAGTTCCGCAGATCGAAACTGTCCTGTGCATATGGACTGTGTCTGTCTATGATTGGATACTCTGACAGCAACTCAGTCCTGGTGGTTCCTTTTGGTGGTATGGTGGATGTGTGCCGATCGTTTTTTAAGCTTTATATCTGAAGAGTTATATCTTTTACGAATTGCTTTCCTGTTTTGAAGTACTATGACACGTCCTGTCATGAAATTTACCACAGTGACTTAGAATAGCGTTATCCAGGCATCCCAGTCTTCCAGACAATTTAACATTAAATCAATGTATCTTCGAACGTAACTACCATCCATTCCAGTGTCGGATTCTTGGTTGCATTCTGACCCAAATTTTCAATTTCGCCCTTTCGGCTATCCGCTTCAAATGGCCTGAACAGCAAATTTGATGTTGATCAGTGTGCACTCCATTCAATTAGGATCCCCTCCTTGAAGAAAAGTGGTGTTCTGGAACCGCCTGAAGGGCCTTGTGTAAACTTTTACTGTGAAGATGATCAGGTACCGGAAATTTTTTCGCGGATCATTAAGTTTTTCCACCGCGTAGTTGTTATGACGTAACAGCATTCAGATACACCACAATCTCGGTAAATTCGGGGAAGCATTGGTTACACCAAGGCGATCAAATGTCTTGTTAGGTTTCACAGTTCGTATGTCTCCATCACTGGGCGTTGGGTGCGCGGAGAAATGCAGAAATACGCACAGCACACCACTGCCTAACTGTTAGTCGAATACCCAGTGTATTATGTTGAGTTCCGGTACAAACTGACTGAACATAAGTGTCTGAGAAAATTCATATTCGAATCCTCAACACCTCGAGAAGTCAACTGTGAGGGACCTGGACACTCCAATGGCTTTTCTTCGTTATTGCAGGTAAAACGGAGAGTTATGTACACTGCCAGCGTAGTAATACCAGGGAGCGCGAAATGTTCTATATAGGTCAGAAGGCTCAAATGGTCATGAACTGTGTTCGTGATTCAGCCAGAAACTCTTATACTCACGGCACCGGCTGCTGCACAATGATGAAAATACCGGTTGATACTCAAATCGCTCGGCTAGGATCCTACAACGTAATCCTACATTCCGCTTTCGGATCCGCCACATGATGCGTCGTGATCAAGCGCTTCGCGATGGACGACGAGGGGTCCATGGTCTCGGTGTGGAGGGTTATGCTTCTGCTAAAACGTAGAATTTTCATCTACTGATGAATGTTGGTACTGACGGTAGTATGAGAAGACCTGTGAAATTCCAGTGGAAAGTGGTGGGGCACTGTACGACCGTTTCATTCTCTTTGGGAGTCATCAACAATCCGCATCTCACTAGACTCCACATCTCACTCATGAATGTGGTAACAGGATGGTCACACCGGGTGACATACTCTTTTGCCTGCGTGGATTTTACTTCAACTGTATGTGAACTGACAAATCACGTACAAAAATGAATTTTCAAGCAAACTGCTCTCACCATATCTTAAGCTACTTCCTCTAGCTAGCGAAAGTAAATGACAGGTGTGTTTGTACTAACGCTGAACGGATTTTTAAGCTAGATCGTTGAATAACTTGCGGGAACTAACCTGTCATTATTGCTCGAGAAGGATGGGATGGATGACAGAGTAGGAACTCCATGGACTTTTCTGGTGAGTAGTTGGCGCTGTGAACTTTATCGGCTGGCCGTCGTCCGTTCATTCTATTGTCTATTTGCGGCCAAAACAACTATACTGGAATCTTGGGAATTTATCTATCTATCAGGTTTTTCGTTGGAGCTTCACAAAATTGCCCCGAGAACTGCCGGTCTTTCTTGCGTCTGGCTTGTTTCCGCTTGTTACCGGCTTGTTTTTCCGATACACTTCAGTTTTGTAAGTGCAGCACATACTTTGGCATGTACGGAAACGTCCTCCACACTACAAACACTTTCACATACCACTGTTGTTGCCAGCTTAGTGCAGAAACTTGTCTCCCATTACGTTGTAGTGGTTTGGATGGCTATACGCTTTTCTCCGATGAGTCCATATGGCAGGCGGTGTCTGCCCTTTATTGTATTGAAGTTTCCGACAATGCATACAGCGTAGGTAATCGTCCGGTGTCATGTTTTTTATCCAACTCTAAACGGTTAAATTTCAAATTTGCGCACCGAAATAATGAAACTGCCCGAAAGTGAAATGTAGTCATCATCACCATCATCGACAGTATGGTATCAGTGTTCACCGATGCTTCGCTACCGTCACTTGATGACGATGTAGTCATCTGTAGATGTAATCATTTCCGATAGGCGTTTGTAGAATATGTGCTGTCCGTCTTGTTGTTGCAGTGTTGAGATGCAGACAATCACATATTTTGCAAACCTTGCTGTTGACATCTTTGATCATAGATACATCATTCCGGGGTCAACATAATTTGTTTTATCCATCCCTTGACTACTGGTTCATTCATGAACCCACTTAAAAAGATACGGTAACTTTGTCTTACTTTTTCAACCCTGGCCAAAAAGGGCGAGTGTTAGTAAGCAACCGTCCGACAATAAACGCTGAAAATCACGCGCCAGTGTCTTTATAGCTAACAGTCTGCCTGAAAAACCATTAGTGAAGCATTAGTGAAGCTAGTTTCATTGAACACTGTTGTGGTAAAAATAATGGTAAAACAGTATGCCCTAGTTATCTTACAATCTGCAGCAGACAGTCCTATGGAGACTAAGTGGACCTGATTGTTCGTTTATTGGTTATTCTCAAAATGGAAGATGGGTTTAGGTACTGGAGTTGAACAACTGTGTTCTCTTACTTGTTTCTGCCATGCGTCGGTTGTGCCATGCCCGTTGATAGAGTTCGTAAAGTTCGGCGGCACAGGTAGCCTGTTTTTGCACAACACCTTCAACACACATAACACCATTGTTGTCTGGTTGGATTGGCAGGTCCTACAAGATCATTCGCAGAAAAAGGACTGTCACGTCTCATGTTTAGCCTCGCAGTCAGCTGCTTGTAACTGGATACAAATATGCAGAGCAGTATTGGGGGTACGGCTGTCAAACGGTGCAATTTGGCATTCATGTTATTCCTCAGGTTGTGACTGTCTATAAGACTGGGTGGCCTGGGTGTTCCAGGCTACGACCGGCAACGTCGCTTCAGTCGGCTCACACAAGAAAAGCAAACATCAGAACTAATGTTTTGAAGATATATCCATAAGTTCGGAAGCACCGAAATACCACGATGAAATGACTTGTTTAGTCAAAGAAACTTCTAAGGGAATTTTCAAATCAATTACGTCACAAATCAACAAACACGATGAAGGATACTTGGATAGCTTTTTCATAACAAACCAAACATTTATGAGTTCATGGTCATCTAATCCTATGCGCGACACGTACCGATTCGGCATAAGAGTTCAGATACAGAAAATTCCAGTCCGGATTTCACAAATCAGAATCACTTCCGTCAGAGCTTAAACTACTGGAGAAAACTGACATTTGTATTCCGAAAAGTTTTATGGTAAGCGAAGGTTACACCCGAATGTCTCAGCTTCTGGCTCAAGCATTATGGGATAGGTTAAACTGAACAAGGGAATGATTGAGGACGAAGTAGTATGAAACCACTGGAAAAAGTTCAAACTGTTCGTCAGTTTGTGTTGGAGTGTCAGCTGGAGGTGAAAGACAATTAAATACCCTCGTGAGTACTAACGTCTATTCAGAGCGCAGAATTAGGCACAGGATTTAGGTACGTCGTGGTATACTGGTCTCATCACGACTGCCAAACAACTTGGATGTAATCACTTTGGACAGTCCTAGCTGATTTCCAAAACGGGCCGTCGTAACCCTGACACAATACCCGTTAGCGGGAACGTGAACTAACATAGAACTGATAATAACAGGCTGTTGTGCGTTCTGGTCCTCACAAGTGAGCCCAATGCTGCAAATACTGCTTGCTAAGAGCTTGAGTGTCAATGATCCGTAACTTTTCCATGCTAGATTCCTTTCAAAGACTGTCTGTAGTCACTGAACCAGGATTTCGCTGCAGAATCTCTCTTAAATATCAGCGTGAGTGCGTAGATTTTCGAGCTGGACCGTAGGCAACATGTTTAGGGGCTATGTAGCACATGTTTCGAAAGCGGTTGGATGTAATCACTTTGGACAGTCCTAGCTGATTTCCAAAACGGGCCGTCGTAACCCTGACACAATACCCGTTAGCGGGAACGTGAACTAACATAGAACTGATAATAACAGGCTGTTGTGCGTTCTGGTCCTCACAAGTGAGCCCAATGCTGCAAATACTGCTTGCTAAGAGCTTGAGTGTCAATGATCCGTAACTTTTCCATGCTAGATTCCTTTCAAAGACTGTCTGTAGTCACTGAACCAGGATTTCGCTGCAGAATCTCTCTTAAATATCAGCGTGAGTGCGTAGATTTTCGAGCTGGACCGTAGGCAACATGTTTAGGGGCTATGTAGCACATGTTTCTCCAGAAAGCGGTTTGGAAATCGGATTCTTCCAAGCAAGTTTGTAAGCAATTCGGGCTCCTCAGTAAGCATATTTTCTGGGTTTTATCAAGCTTCATCAGGTATGCGCTTAGCTCTGAGTGGGATATGCACTGCTGAGGATACGAAGCTAGTTTCATTGAACACTGTTGTGGTAAAAATAATGGTAAAACAGTATGCCCTAGTTATCTTACAATCTGCAGCAGACAGTCCTATGGAGACTAAGTGGACCTGATTGTTCGTTTATTGGTTATTCTCAAAATGGAAGATGGGTTTAGGTACTGGAGTTGAACAACTGTGTTCTCTTACTTGTTTCTGCCATGCGTCGGTTGTGCCATGCCCGTTGATAGAGTTCGTAAAGTTCGGCGGCACAGGTAGCCTGTTTTTGCACAACACCTTCAACACACATAACACCATTGTTGTCTGGTTGGATTGGCAGGTCCTACAAGATCATTCGCAGAAAAAGGACTGTCACGTCTCATGTTTAGCCTCGCAGTCAGCTGCTTGTAACTGGATACAAATATGCAGAGCAGTATTGGGGGTACGGCTGTCAAACGGTGCAATTTGGCATTCATGTTATTCCTCAGGTTGTGACTGTCTATAAGACTGGGTGGCCTGGGTGTTCCAGGCTACGACCGGCAACGTCGCTTCAGTCGGCTCACACAAGAAAAGCAAACATCAGAACTAATGTTTTGAAGATATATCCATAAGTTCGGAAGCACCGAAATACCACGATGAAATGACTTGTTTAGTCAAAGAAACTTCTAAGGGAATTTTCAAATCAATTACGTCACAAATCAACAAACACGATGAAGGATACTTGGATAGCTTTTTCATAACAAACCAAACATTTATGAGTTCATGGTCATCTAATCCTATGCGCGACACGTACCGATTCGGCATAAGAGTTCAGATACAGAAAATTCCAGTCCGGATTTCACAAATCAGAATCACTTCCGTCAGAGCTTAAACTACTGGAGAAAACTGACATTTGTATTCCGAAAAGTTTTATGGTAAGCGAAGGTTACACCCGAATGTCTCAGCTTCTGGCTCAAGCATTATGGGATAGGTTAAACTGAACAAGGGAATGATTGAGGACGAAGTAGTATGAAACCACTGGAAAAAGTTCAAACTGTTCGTCAGTTTGTGTTGGAGTGTCAGCTGGAGGTGAAAGACAATTAAATACCCTCGTGAGTACTAACGTCTATTCAGAGCGCAGAATTAGGCACAGGATTTAGGTACGTCGTGGTATACTGGTCTCATCACGACTGCCAAACAACTTGGATGTAATCACTTTGGACAGTCCTAGTTGGCTTCCAAAACGGGCCGTCGTAACCCTGACACAATACCCGTTAGCGGGAACGTGAACTAACATAGAACTGATAATAACAGGCTGTTGTGCGTTCTGGTCCTCACAAGTGAGCCCAATGCTGCAAATACTGCTTGCTAAGAGCTTGAGTGTCAATGATCCGTAACTTTTCCATGCTAGATTCCTTTCAAAGACTGTCTGTAGTCACTGAACCAGGATTTCGCTGCAGAATCTCTCTTAAATATCAGCGTGAGTGCGTAGATTTTCGAGCTGGACCGTAGGCAACATGTTTAGGGGCTATGTAGCACATGTTTCTCCAGAAAGCGGTTTGGAAATCGGATTCTTCCAAGCAAGTTTGTAAGCAATTCGGGCTCCTCAGTAAGCATATTTTCTGGGTTTTATCAAGCTTCATCAGGTATGCGCTTAGCTCTGAGTGGGATATGCACTGCTGAGGATACGCACTGCTGATGGTCCTTAATAGGAGCGAAACTCAAGTCCAGCGCTTTGATGCGGACTAAACAGAATACTAACGCCAAGACGGGAGAGAGAATGTTAAAACCATGGGGATGTGACTCTGAATTCTACAAACAAGCCCTGCAAAAAATCTAAAATTATCCACTAGATTTCAGGCGATCGTGCGCCACTTGACTGGCGAGTCGATCGATCGAAACAGCCATGGCGGTTACTGGGGTCAGGCTAATCAGTCACGTCGATCAAGCGCGAACAGACATTCAGATGTGAAAACTGAAATGCGTCCAGCGTGCGCTCATTGAATAGTGGTAACGCTCCCTCCTCGCATGTAAGATGACCGGAACGGACGAGAATATACAGTTTCAAGAAGCCTTATTGAGAGTAAAACTAGAGTATTGTGCTTTTCTCCCTATTGTGGACTCAGCGAAAACTTGTGTTGGGATAGGATGACGACTGGTCAAACGGTAGTGATGTGAATTCTATGAATCCTGCAACAGCATTTCCTTTTTTTATTACACGGCAGCAGAGATGATAATGCCGTCAATCTGCTCATAATATTGAATTCATAACACCTCGACAAGATGCTGTCTCATTTGTGAATGTTTTCCACGTTGCTCCGGAAAATGATTGCATTCACAAACTATAATACAATACTCATCAAAAATGCTCACAGATAGCCAAACGCCGTTGTGCGTATGGAGTTTGATGGACTATTCATGGATTTGAAACGTCACACTATTGTAACCGGCTGCTCGGTAGCCATGCCAGTAACACGTGTGTGGAGACAGTTACCATCTATAAGAGATAACATACCGTCATTTGCTTGATGCTAATGCGTGCGTATACGACATTTTGCCTACGAAGTGGCGATGCTCAGTGCAAACACTATTCGTGATACGTTTTGAATAACCCAGAGATCGCTGGTTGGTGAGAGCGTTTACAGTGTTCTTACTTTTTTATTAATGCACTGAGTTAAATTTGGTCATCCGCTTATGAGTCTCATTTAGACAGTAGTACTGTATAACTTCTCCGGATTGCATGGCTGAACAGAACGATCGGCAAAAGAAATTAGCATCGCTCTTCTGTGGTCTGTTGCATTTGGAGAGAACACCGTTGTTTTCTTAAGGTGTTTGGTTTCCAATTTACATTGATCGGCTCCGTACTTGTAATCGGGGTTAGCGCACAGGAGTTCATGCTTTTCTTGCCCCAATACAGCATTGAAAATGCAACAATGCATTTACAAACCAAGAAGCGGAAATGCCAGATTCTGGTGGATCACGTAAGGCCCACTGGTTGCAATCCAAAAGCGGAGCTTGGACAAACTGACTCTCTTTCACAGAAATTACTGGAATGATATTACTGAAGTTAATCGTCCCAAAGTCCTTCTAACGGAATGTGTCTGAAAGTTTAAACAAAAAATCCTACACCATGCATCATCATTATCGACACTGCAACATCGGTGTTCAGAACTGATGCTTCGCTATCAAACAACCATAAGTTATTTAGAAGTCTTAATGTGAATAAAGGAGTGAAAATCAGTAGGGAAATGACTTAGTGTTCACTTCCCCCCAGATATTCAGTCGGGCATTCTAGATAGAAACGGACCATAGAAATGCTACTCAAGTGGATTACTGGCCACATTTTACAATAATTGTAGTCTGCACAGAGAGACAGTTCGGAAGCTATCCTGAAAAATGAGCTGTGCTGACAATTTTCAAAATTTTGTCGCCTGCTATTCAAGAATAGCGAAGGTTACATTCCTGGAGCTTCAAAGTTACGGGGAGATTAGACGGCTTATGTTAACCTAATCGTATACCATAAAACGAGAATAAAGCAACGATAGGATCACGATGAAGAGGTTTATCCGTATCTCGGTATATTTAAAAAACAAGACCATACGTATGCCACGTTATTTCTACGTCCACTCGGCCGAGTGATACGCAGTACATCGAAACAAAATCCAGGGTCGAAAATCCATGTACTTACTTCATATGCTCCATAATCAATCAAAAGGTCGAGTATCTTTTCGTCGTACATTTCCATTATCGAAACGCTGACATCCGAATAGGATTTTGTTCTGTGCACGTGTGCAGCAAAGTAAAAACAAGAACAGATTAATAAGGTATTGCAATCCACCCATTCAAGGGATAGGACCAATACTGAAAGGTTAGCTATAGACTGCCTCCACCCCTGTAAAGGGTTAGGGTTGTAGTGCTCTAGCCTGAAATGCACAAAAGTATGCAAAGTAAACGAGATCGAGGTATCTTCGAGCAATTTTGTATCTACCACCAAGTTCTCTAAGACCATATAACTCCGAAAAAAATGTCCTAGACAGTATAATTGTTTACTTCCATATGTTCCAAATAAAACAATTTGCTTTTGAATCATCTATCTTAATTTATGCAAAAACTACGTCTTAAGATCCCAGATGTGGTCATAGGCTTCTTTCGAAGGCAGCGGTGACGGAGCCTGATGGAATGCCTTTAGGCTGGCGACATGATCCAGGAAAGGATTCCTGTGATATTTCTTAACACTTCTGCGTCATACGGTTACAGGCTAAAATCAATTGCACTCATACCGCCAGCTATTTTTCAGGTTGTCAGAATATGTAGGCTATTGAGAATTGCTGTAGTGGGGTTTTAGGGCTTACCGTGTCCCCACCTTCTCTTTCCACTTTACATCTTTTTTGAATTTGTTTTTATAGTTAATGAACACTAACCTTGCTTTTTAATTTAACAAGGAACCGTAGGATAGTAATATAAAAGAAAGTTTGAACTTAGATCAGGAAAAAATGTAAGCTTCCATAATATCGGTAGTAGTTGAAGTGTGTCTCTTCTAGGTGGTCGAGCGTGTGATCGTAGTCGCACCGTTGTTCTTCATCCATTAGAATCTCTTAGGCTATATTTACCTTGTGTAGATTTAATTCCACCTCTGCTTTGGCGTTGGGAGTTTGTTGTCTGTCCGGATGGTGCTCACGAGCCGATTTTCGATAAGATTTGCGGATAAAGGTCTGGTCATCGTCTTCACTGACTTGGAGCGAATCGTAGCAGTTGTCCTCGCCACAGTAGACTTCTCCACGTCCTGCCAACACCCATCCAACACATAATGGCAGTAAAATAAGTCTGAATAGCCAGACATCTGACAACATCCCGCGGCGTTCTGTTATTTACGACCACCGCATATCAGTCAGGCGGATGTGGCACACAAACTCCCGCAATGATTTACTTGTCACATGCGCTAATATACATGACAGGGAACCCTCAGTGGATACAAATTTGTGATAATGTGTGGTGGAAACCTCAGGAAGCTGATGAGCAACAACAACCGCGTATTGTTTGGTGCATTGCTAGTGCTCACTGTCACCGTGCTTGGGCTGGCAAACTACTGTTTACAATTTTCTGTGCTTTCACTCGCTGTTTGATTCTTTTGGATTTGTCTGGAATTCATGAACTCATCCGTAGTAGCACATTCAACCCCCACGCAAGATTTTTGTGTCTTCATATCCGGCAGTATAAACAGTGTTGTCAGACTAACCAGTCGAAGGTGTTCCTCATTGGGGAGCACATCTTAACTGTTGGTAGTGTCCTGAAATATTAAAAGCACTTGGAATTTTGAAAGTTTGATTCCATTTTTGCTGCTTTTTGCAGTCTATTGCCGTAAGTGGAATGGAACTACAGACAGAGTTGGTCCAACAAAGCCCTTGTTCTTCACATGTGATAAAAAGCGCTATGGATTTAGGTCCAATGTCAGATTTTTCGATTTATTTGAAATCATTCTGTGAGATGAAACTGAGTTCAAAATTTTCTCGAACTTGAGAACTATTCGGACTATGTCGATCAACGTCAGCAGTTACAGATGTCCCCGGGACGGTAGAGGATACTGTTAGAATTCTGACGGAAGTTTCATGGACCTGCTCGAATCGGCATTCGTACAAGATAACAACAATTATGCTTACCTGAATAATGGGTCATCCAGAAGCTCAAACAAATAGTCAACGCAGTGAAAGACCAACCCAGGATGTTCCCTATCCCCGGCCAAAGTGTACGTCTTACCACTGCCCGTCTCACCATAGGCAAATATGCAAACATTGTACCCATCGATCACAGATTGGACAAGATTTGTGGTTTCCTCGAACAGATCCTCCTGTGTTGCGTTGGGACCAAAGACTCGATCAAACTGAAAAACCTTCAGTCCTCTGGAAACTTTCACCAGGGCAGTATGCTTATCTGGAGTATAAACGACAATGGGGTTTTTTCTGGTGACTTCTGTTAGCGCTGCCGGTCGGATTCGACAGAACACCCGGATTTTCCCCTTCAAATCTTGAATCACATTCAAATACTTTTTTCGCAGAACCATCTCCGCTAAGTAATGTTCCACCAGAATTGCGTTCTCTTCATTCAAGGCTCTGATTTCCTCTTCCATTTGCACCTCGGTCAGCGTTTTCTGTTTCAACTCTTCTAACTCATTTTCCAAATCTTTCGCCAGTTTTCTCCATTTTGACACTTCTTCTTCTTTCTCTCTCAATTTTTGATTCATCTGACAGGACAGAAAAAATCGAACTATCTGTGCAGTAGATTTTGCAGATAATGAACGGGCTCTCGGCTCACACAAATTAAGGTTGTTCAGCTGAGAGTGTGCTGGGATAGGGATCTCGAAATAAATCATGATAATTAGAAAACTAACGGCTGCTGTGCCATTAAATGACTTGTCCTGACGACCATTAGTGAACCCGCTGTAATGCACTTGTAGATATTGTGTTCGCACTCTTTACTGCTCAGCAATAATGTGATACACTCGATACGTGTCATACTTTCTGGATAAAAGTACTCCGCTGTCGCTCAGCTTTCGTGACACTGTCGACTATAGTATCAAGAAGGTGCCACTTTGTTCCCGAGAAATAGTGCTGATAATGCTTACGCACGAGTACATCCTTGAGTATCTTTCTTCCATATGGTTCGTCGTTTGTGAGGTCCCAATCTGCAAATATGTTCGCCTCTATTTGGTGACACACCTCACACTAAATTAAAGAGAGATTAGAATTTGTCGATTTCATCATTTGCCACATGTTATATAGAGTTGATCAGTAGTACCGATGACAAATTGGGTCAGTTACCGTTTACGCAGTCTTATCACCGGGAGCTACGTCAGCAGGGGTTCTCCATCCCCACTAAATTGGTTTGGTTGACAAGCCGCAACGACTCCCACTATCCGGGATAAGTGGGACTCAGCTAAACAAACAAGGGAGTAGCATCGTCGCCTGAGCTGAATGCTACCAACCGCCGTTCGTGATTGAGGATGCTGATACTTCTCGGAATTCAAAATGATTAATCTTTGTGGCAATCCAATCTAATAATGTGTCCTGTCCAGATGCGAATTTATCATCTGCAATTGGCTGTAAAAGGGTGCAATGTTCACCGAATAGAAAGTTTTGGAATCAGAAACAACCAAATACTTGTAGGCTAAGAGCTGCTGGTGACAAAGCATTAGTATCGCGATTCTCGACATTCAAATACAGGCTGATCTTATGAGTTGTATATTATATCTATACATGTACCACGTGGGGCGGCCTGGTGCAGCACATTTAGACGCTTAGAAACATCATAAACGAGGGATTTAGATGGGTTCCATGTGGGTCTATTGCAATACCAAATTTGTTTTCAAATGAATGTATTTCGCTAATTCCGCACAATTTGAGTTCAAGCAGAACATAAGGTTGACGGAAACTCGGGGGCTGCGTTTATTAGATGAGCCCGAAGAAGGGCAAAACCGGTCGTAGATTGTCGAATTTTCAGCGACCTCAGGGGATAGTGTGTTATGGAATAACTTTATTTTGATGGTGTAATTTTATTTGATACTAATTGGTAGTGGGGTGTGGAAAATGTTCGCCAATCTCCATAGGGTTCAAATGCACACTAATTCGTGCTCGTGGATTTTTGTCAGAAATCTGAGGAAATCGCAGAAACGAGATTTCCTAGGACTTTGAGACTTAATTTCGAACTGGTTGCTACTAGAATTGAAATTTCATGTGAATATCAGTGAAGATATCGGTAGAGCACTTCCGCGGAATGATGCCATTTCACATAGGCTAAACAACCGAAGATAGACGAGGAATATTCCACTTTGAAATTAAAAGTAAAAAATGATGGGATGGTCGGACACGAGGAGGAATTTTTGCGCAAAGTTACGGCAAAATTATAACAGACGGCCCTTGCGTAGTAATGAGAATGGCCTCAAGAAACGTCAGTAACCAAGGCCACTCACTTGTCTTGAACATTTTCGTGATAATCAATGACCAGTTGTGGTAAGAGAGAATTAGGTGCCCGAAAATCGAGGAAGCTAGGTTGCGAAGAATTACAGCAAACCTGTTTCGGTTTCCTGAGCCATCATACATGAAATACTTTGGGGCACATATACTTTTGTACCCGTTTCAAGGCCACTTTTATATCTACCACTATGACGTTCGTGGAAACTGCAGGTGAATGAGCAATTACAATTTGTTTTTTGGAGAATTAATCGAGGCGCTTTTGTCCGTAGCAGCCGCATTCTCCTTGTCTGCCACAGCAATCTTTATTGTGCCACTGGAGTGCGGCATTCAAAATCATTTCAATACATCCGGTAATAGCATTAATTCTTTTATGACAGATGGAGGAAAATGTTTTTTTTCTGTTGTTTGCGTAGCCTACAGCGCTGCAAAACGAACTTTTCAGGTTACCGTCGTGAATATCGATGGTTCGTTTATCATCGTATCTGGTGTGCAAATGTTTCTAACTCTGAGATAATTTTTACGCATCAGTAATAATTCGCGTTCTACCTAACAGGAGCCGAGAAAGCTTTAGCAGCGGTAGGTACCATCTAGATATACGGTAGATGGAGCGGATCATTCTTCCTTCCACCTCTCCGGTGACTAAAGTACCAAAAACCCACCAAAACGGTTTAATTTTGACTTTGTATGGAAAGTGAAGATTGTAATGGGGCCACGAATGAAGTGAGTACGCATTTCATCCAAACACGGTTCTCCACGTCTGGTGGCATAGATGTCGTCCAAGTAACGTTTACACCAGTGCAATTGATAGGTATTCTCTATTGCTTCTATTTCAGCCCTTGGCACAAGCACTTGGGCTAATTTCGAGCCAAATGGACCGGTAAGTAACAAATCAAAATAAAATGCTGCACTTTTTGTGCAGAATAAGAACAGATGTGTTGAAACTGGAATGGGATGGGCTGATTTATTAGGGCGAATAACAACGTAGTCAAAAACAAAGCGAAACGCTCCTTCCAGCGGCACATCAATGATTTACGGCCGAGGATCAAACGGCAAATTACCTACGTTTTGGGGCACATAATACCTGAAAATGGTATCGAGAGACTTGTGGGTGTGGGTAGACAACTTAATTCCAACTGGCCTCAGGATCTACATCAGTCATTGATTTAACTGTCTGAGATGGGACGAAAGATACAATAAGCTTGTGCGTCCTTGCTAGAGTCTTAAGTCAGAAAGTATGGAAAATAACAGGGTTTCAGGGCATTTTGAAACATTATAATTCACACACCAGCTACTTGATGCCAGCAACACGTTATCCAGTTGAGCTTCTGCCTTGGATTTGCTTGTGCCCAGCATAGTGACGGTGAAATAATGCTTGATATGGTGGCTTTGAGTCAGGTTTATATTTCATGAAAGATTGAAGCAGGACGAGCTTTCCGCTCGAGAACCTTTCGAATTCAGCTTCAGTGTGTCAGGTGTCAAATTTGCATGAATAAATTTTGGAATTCGACCCTCATGGCAGCGCCTGCAATTAGTAGTGTGATGCGTATCTTCGTGTTTTTCCAAGTTGTTTGGAAAGGGATGTTGGACACTGTGTTAAAGGAACTTGATTGTACCGCTGAGTTAAACCCGGCCCTCAGACCCAGGGTTTCATAATGTCTGGCAAAACCTGATAAGTGTTGTCCCAGAATACCCAAAACCTAGTAAGACCGAAGAAACTCCACTAAAGCCGATTAGAACAGCCTTGGACCAAAAAAGGGATGTTGGACACTGTGTTAAAGGAACTTGATTGTACCGCTGAGTTAAACCCGGCCCTCAGACCCAGGGTTTCATAATGTCTGGCAAAACCTGATAAGTGTTGTCCCAGAATACCCAAAACCTAGTAAGACCGAAGAAATTCCACTAAACGCCGATTAGACAGCCTTGGACCAAAGTCAAACAGTGCCTTCCAAGATATAGCGCGAGGCCATTGAACTTTCGCACTAGTTTCTGTTTTCTTTGTCGGTAGGTCTTTTCCTACCCTAAGGCCATAAAGCAGGGAGAGATTCCAGGGTAACAAGTGGATGCTAACTGTTGCCATTCTGAGAATTTATCTGATATCGTGATTCAGGCCCGTGGAAATGTTTCGCACTACATGAATTACTTATGAATTACTTACTAACAATAGCCGAGTAGGTACATAAATAAACCAGTGGCAGGTCATGACGGAGACTTGGCATATCCACGAAACACGCCATCGTCGTGTGTGAAAGAAAATATTTCAACATAATTGTAACCATATCCCTTTATACCATTCAGATAATGCAGGATATCTCCACTGGTAGAATTGTGGAGGTTATTCCGGTCTCATGTATTCATTTTTTCCATTTCGGTCACAGCCGGGCTCTTGGAAAATATCATCCATATGTACAGATGGGATGTGTACAGTGTTTGTTGCTGTTCAACAAAAAAGTAATTTAAGGCGGAAAAATCTCAAAAAGCTCCACAAGGATATTCTCATCCCATACGATTGTCAGGGCTCTCATATTGGGTCTGATTACCACTCAGCGATAACTGAAACGGTGCCATGCATATCGAGTTATGCTTTAGGGCCCATAAACCTGAGTAAATGTTGTGTGCCAGAATATGCTGGAGCTGATGCGATGCTTTTGTACTATGTCTGTTATTGAGGGGAAATGTTTGTGTGGAAAACATGCACTTAAGTTCTTTTACCAGATTCATCGATTCCCAAACAAAGGTCTCAAACCCATCGAATTGGTCCGGGTTGGATTTGATGGATCACTGTGTTCATAGTATGCGAACGTTTCGAAAGACGACTTTAACCACTCAGTCAAGTGTCAAAATCCCTGAAGCTTTGAGCTCAAAATTAAGGTCAAAGCAAGAAGCATTCATACTAGCTCACATCACGTCTGTAGGAATCAACTTATAGCCCCTTTATTAGAATGGCTTCTTCTGAAGGATGCTCCAGGGTCCTCAGTTTGCCTAATACAGGCGAATTCTCATGATTGCTGGCGTGTCTTCAGAGTGTCTCCCACAAAATTGGTGCCAAAAAGGGAGCTTAACTATTTCTACAGACTTTTTAAAAGTTTTATCCGTGTTAATCGTTCAGTGACTTCCGAAGTAAGTCCCATCAACAAAAGCCGCTTTTGATTGACCCCAGAGGTGATTCAAACAAGCAATCTACCAGATTTGAGGCAAACGCACTGTTCAATTTGCTGTTCCAAAAAATGGCGCTGAGTTTTTGAGAGGGAAAGAGAAGTTTATGAGTCGGATGTACAATTCTGTGAGTTTGCTTTCTCCGTTATTACTCTAGAGGGTGATAAAAAACTGTACACCCCACTAATCGGACCTTGGCTTTAAGTCAGCCCTACACACATGTATCCAGTTTGTATTGTACCTAATTGTAGTACTCCGGTTTTAGGTGGAAACTGGCTTTTTGGTTGAGGTTTCGTCTTGCAAGTGCAGCCAATCTCTGCTAAAAATCCGAACCCATTGTGCACCCATTTTCACTGTTAGTTGGAATCATCAGTAGCTTACATCTCACGAAACTCAAGGGGTTCTGGAATTCGCGACCTCCTGGTTAGCATTTTGAACTTAGCCGTTCGGTCTCGACTGGCTAATGACCTATGCGATTAGTTCTCGTTTAGACAGGACAGAACACAATTTATCATTCAAATACGTCATTCGAGGAGCAAGCTAACACCGTATGGTGTTAATCCAGTAACTGAGGAACGTACAAGTTAATCATACTGCTGATCGAACTTTCGTGCACGAACGGTTAAGTGTTCAAACTACTAGCTGGGGTGTTGCGGGTTCGAAACTCCCTACTGGAGTCTCGTGAGATTTGCACTGCTAATTTTTCCAAATAAGGAGACAGCTGTACATGGGTTCTTAGCTTTCCAGCATAGATTAGCTGCACTCACGGAACAGAATCTCGGTTCTAAATTTCCAGATCTGCGGACATTACGCAGGGTAACCGCAAGTGGAGAGATTGGATAGTGACAACTACAACTATGAACCGTAATTTTGCAGACAATGATTCAACATTACTTCATTCTTCCGGTTTTACCTGTGTTCTGAAGTGCTCCCAAGAAAGCCTTTCGGCATCGGTGATAGGTGCCTCAACTCGGTGTTCAGTTTCGTCGCCCCAAATTGTGCTGGTCGATTCGCCAATATCCAAAGTGGGTCGTCCGGAAAATCTACCCAAACGAGAGAAAGCACGGGCAACAGTGGTTCTCTTTGATGCGATCGTTGATCGGATCTGCATTTGGGAAGAACGTATGTGAGCTGGTATGGGCTACTGTACATGGTGTGACTCTAATATTTCGGACAACTGAGTCGTTTTAGCGCATTTTAACTCAGCTCAGAGCTAGATGTATGTAAGGATTTGCAAAGCATACCCAAACTTATTAATTTTTTGCATATACACTGATAAAATTGAGATGTGAATGGACCTAGTAGCTGATTTTATCCATTGATAAAACCGATAGGACAACAGATGGACTTTTGGCACTGGGTTCATTCGAGCTTAACTCAACAAGGGTGAACAAAACTGCTATCGCCTGACCTTAGGACAATGGATTGATTTGCAGCTGCTTATCACATTGCGGTCAGGCTTGGTGTCAGATTTTTTTAACTATGACATCAAACTTTGTTCTGTTACCTTAAACGTGACAAGGTTATCAAAAGTCACGTGATCCGAAATGCTAAGATGGTGTTTTCCCTTATGTCCGAGGCGAACAGCTGAGTTTTGTTGGCATCCCTAAAAATTGAGTTTCCGTGGAAACCTTCTAAACTGGGGACTTCACTGCTGGGAATATGAAAAGATGTATTATTGAAAACGCAGCCAGTAAGTCACATTTCGTTCGCCTTGTCAGTCACGAGGGAGGCAAAAATGCGCCTATCACGTTCACGTTTGCCGGTTTGCCGATTCTCCACTGAGGTTTTCCGTAAGAGGGTTTCCACAGAGAAAGTGATCAGAAACGTCTCAACTGTTGAGGAGATTGGTGCATTAGGAAATGTTCATTACTGTCGGTTTCATCAAAAGTTGCTTACACTCCTTAAGGCAAGTTCTGCAGTGAGAAATGACAGCAAAGACCTTCTGAGCACCCGAAATCCCCAAAAACGGTTGTCAGATGTAGTTGAGTTATGATGAAAAATTATCCCAGGATTATCGGTTTAATCAGATAGTTTTTCAAAGAAAGAGAACCCAGGCAAAAAACAGGTTCAGTGCAAGAGACTCACATGAAACCCAGCTGAATCTCTCGTTTGTGATGTTTCCAGGATGTGATTTTTCTTGTAAACCTCACAAACGAGGGATTCAGCTGGGTTCAAGGGGGGTCTCTCGCAAAACCAAATTTGCAAATGAGTGCATTTCTATAATTTCGTCCAATTTGGTTTCAAGAAGAACATAAGGTTGACGGAAACTTGGGGACTGCGCCTACCTGATGAGCCGGTCGATGGCTGTTGTTGATTTTTCAGCAACCTTATGAGTAGTGCATTGAGAAAGAGAACCCTAGCCTTTTAGCTCAAGTGGAAGGTGCTTTACTGTCCTGTCACGCATTCTCCCTTCTCTGAACACTGAGTCATCCTGGTTGCAATCCGCAAGCATTCAGCATACACGTGAAGTAATATGGTCTTCGCTTCTACGTACGACATTCGCAAACGTTAGAAAGTAACAGGCTTCAGGTAACAAAATATCCTGAAGGACACCAGCTATCATGGCAATCACAGAGATATCAACAGTTCCACGGTGATTCACCTTGGTATGTGAGCATTGCATGACAGCTTTTACCATGAAATTTCAAGAAATATGACCGCTACTTCATTCGTTTACGGAACTCATCTCATCATTGATGAATTGTTCGTTACAGGCAATCAAATGGCTGATAAGTTTTGAGTGCATGTCATTTATACATCGGTACGTTTTTGACGAAAAAGCAAATCGATAATACGTATTTATAAAGAGTAGATAGCATGCTGAACAACGGCAAACGTAATGATGTTGGGCTGACGCTTTACAATACTCCAGCAATCGGTTCAAAAACCGTAACAACAATGTATAAAATGCCCAAAATCAATCACTAACCATTTCAGAAACCGGCCTTTCAGTAGGAGAAATTTTAGATGAAATGTGCCAAATTTTGTCATGCCCCGGATCAGCTGGAACTCCGAGATCCTTTCCCTCATTGACCTTTGAGGGGAAACAAAAAGAGTAACACAACTTTTGGATAGAATGCAGCTCGTAACATAGTATGGTAATGGACCAATACGAAGTAAACTAGCTAGTTTGCCTCAACTGATATAGGCAGATAGGTTCACTACAAAATAAAATCAAGTTTAAAAAGTACTAACTCCTCTGTCCCGTTACTTTCGTTTCTATTGGATTCGTGTAATAAGCGTTTCCAAGGAATAGACCGATGAAACCTTCGTAGCACAGCTTCTCCCTCAAACCAAGTAGTTTATCAGAGTTCACCTTAGTTCTGACAGTAGTAGCTCCAGTGAGCGTAGGTGTATATATTTATTCTTTCAGTGCGTTAGCTTTGTTCTGGCGGTTTCGTAACTCTTAATGCATTGCCAACATGAGCAGTATTGTCTGCACCTCTGATAAAGTGCTATGTGTTAATCCTATCCTTACGTCATCGCCAGCTCTGACTTATGCAGGAGAACCACAGTGAAAACATCCTAAGGGGACCGGTCACTGTGTTTCCCCTAATAACAAGTTGTGCAGTAAAATGGTACCCAGGAATCTCAGATAGCCCGGAAGAATGATCACAAATGATTGGCGTCAGTTCTGAATGCCAGGAGTGAAAGTGGCATTTAACATTGGCCAAAAACCTGTTTTCGGCCTCAGTATAACTTCAGGAAAGGGGGAGCAAATTGTGAGATGGTTCCTATTAACGGACGCGTAGGTTCATTAATAATCACTGCATCAGGTACAAAAGCACTTCGAATTCCGAACGCAGAGAAGAGGGTGAAAATGTATATCCTTAGGAAAAAGAGGCATTTGACTTCACTCGGACGATGGTTCAAGTACGCTCCTATACGTTCGAAATAGCACACGATAAAAACAAAAGATAGCTGGCTTCACAGGTTCAATACTTCAACTCACTATGGCATCCTCCATACAGTCTGCTAAGGTGGGGTAACGGAAGACCAAATGAGCTCGGAATCTCTAAGAGGAATGCAGCTTAAACAGGTTTGTGCAACTTGACATACAATATCTTCCAGTTCTTGTGGATCTCTGTCTTCAGTCAGTTCTCGTTCTTCTTCCAGCATATACAGGAGATGCCTTTGTCTTCGGTTATCTCGTATATGACGCGTAAATAATTTTTGTTGCCATTCTTGATTGACCTGCTCCAAAGACTGCATGTATTTTTCTTTGATTTCCTCTTCACGACGCTGTTTGAAATAAAGTTAGGATGTTAAAGACTTCACTCTGATTTGGTGCCAAATTCTGTAGACAGCACCAAGTGAGTTGTCTTAATTTTTCCAAAATTCTGGACAGCTCGCTGAGTAAACTTTTGTGTTCGACGCTAACGGATAGAAGCGCAAGTTATTCGATTTCCGAAAAGACTATGAAATGTTTGGAACTAAAAAGCCATAAAACAGGATAAGATAGGGATGTTGCCTGTGCGAATTAAAGTGCAATTAGGTTAGTTTCATATGCACGGCGGACACTGAGTTGGAAAGTGAGACACACTACCTCACCATGATAAGCATCGGAAATTTCGTGAGTTGAGCGTTATTAGTCCTCTATTATTCCACTAGATATCTCCTTAACTCCACTTTTCCAGTTAGCTACCATCTTTCTGACCTATCCGTATTGTCTTTACATCCTATGATTTCACCGCACCGTGCAGAGATTTCTAGAATCTAAGAAACTTCGTGTGGAGGCCTCTTTCCAGTATTCTAGTACATTCATTAAAATGTTGTCAAAAACTCCCATGCAAAATATTTCCTAAATTTCGAGCATGATAGCAGAAACTTCAAAAGTTAGATTACACAGCTAATGTTACACCCAAACTTGTCCCAGTTTATTCCTTTTTCTAAAACGATGCCGTTTCCATTGGTGACAACAAATGCTGATGAAACCAGCGTCTTTTGGTGCTGCAAAAGAGTTTCTGGTAAAGCGGTAGTTTTAATGTAGGAATTTCATACCTGTGTAACGGTGATACTACTGATCGGGAGGCGCGAGAGTAGTATGTGTTGTTCGTAGAATTTCGCTTTGCGTCGATTGAAAAAGGGAATTATGTTGCGGAATTCGCTGGGCCACTTTGTAACATTTGCTTGGATTTGACCGACAAATGTTTGGAGTCAATGAATCTCCAGAAAGACTCGTTCGGGAGATCTATGTCCAGTTTTTGTAACTAAGGTGCAAATTAGAATTTTTTTTCCCTGTTCAATGGTCTGTAACCGGTCAGTTGGCATTTCCGAATAAATAGCTCCGCAGCGAAGGCCTTCTTCCTTTCACCTGTATACAGCGTATATATGTATAGAATATGGCTGTTAAATAGAGATGGCTTTTAGATTGCATAGCTGCACGAGTCATTCTCCTGATATGTTTAGTTGGCGTACACAGTATTACTGTTTGTAAGTCCGCTTGTGTTGGCACATTCATTCTGTTCCACACCAGTGGGAGTAAACAATTGATTTTACCTTCATTGTTATAAAACAGACCAGGATTGTAAATCCAAGGCTTTGACGGGACTTGATCCATGGATAGCTGACATGCAATAGCAACTTTCTAACACTAGAATGTTAGCACACTTCTAGACTATCCAAATTGTTTTTTGTTATCCATCGTATATGAGTGGATTGTAATGGTGACAAGCCCAACTTATCTGGCCAAATTTTGTTCAAAAGGAATCAGTGTTTATTCAGATGCCAAAAGTTTGTTTTGTGTAGGACCGTTACCCCCCTCAGTTTAGGAATCACCTAAAAAACACAGTACTCACCATCAAGTGGTCTGCCAATTTTTTGTGGTCTTCAATTGAGCGTTTTAAAACCTGAACCTGTTTAAGCGCTTCAACCGCTATTCCTTTGGCGGCAGAATGTTCGTGCAAAGCAATGTCTCTCTGTCGCCTCATTTCTTCCTAAAGCGGACGAAACGCGGATATGACTGTCGGAAAATAGTATGGAAATGACGCAACACAAGCGACAACAATTACGAATGAATTACCAGTGAATATCTGAACCACAAGTCTACTCTCTTGATCAAAACGAAATATGGCCTTCTGAAATGAGTTAATTCCTTGAGACGAGGGGCAAACGCCTTATGCATAAAATTATCACCCCGAAGATTGACTCACAAAGGAAATGTGTGCTCCAGAAGTTCTTACCGACAACCTCACATCAGGTTTCGTGTGATACCTCATACCAGTGTGTTGGTCATCAAAACTGAATTAGAATATCAAAAGATCACAGGAGTGCTCACTGTACAAGTGAACGATGTAGCTAACATCTGAAAAGTGGTAACTGTCGTTACAAAAAACGGAGTTGATCTACATGGATCCATTCTTCATTTTTGTCTATTAAGGCTGAATGCAATACGTGGCATGAAAAGCAGGGTCAGGTTGCTGTTTTCTAAGATAGGGTTTCTCGGATAGAACCGTGCGCATCCTTTGTCATCTATGGGTCACGCATACAGTAGTTTAATGTTCGACCAACTCGTACAGGGCATATGGTGGACGCAGTCTGTGCAACTACGTGTCTCGTTAGGGCTCCTAAGAGATGTCGCAGTATGAATTCACCGAAATACGTTTTTATATGGTGGTCCTACAGTTTATTTTAGGTATCATCTTATTATTGTAGTTTGTTTTTTATTGCTAGTCATTTATTTATGCAGCTGAAGTCTGCTTCTGTGTCTTTTTTCATAGTTTTCACATTATCAGTATAATTATGAATACCGTCTATCACCTTGAGATGTCAGTACAAATTCTTGTCGATTTACACTGCGAGTCTCCGCCATAGACAACCCCATGAGATTTCTACAAAACGTCTCAGATTTAGCAGTCGGAAATTGGCCAACTTAGAAAGCCGTTTTGCAAAGCCACTGTCTAATCAACTGAACGACTCACGCCGTATTCATGCGCCTTTTTGCACTCATGAAGCGTACGCTGCGGCAGATTCTCCCACCCCAACTGACGCAATTCTTTGATTAGTCGTCTGGCTTCTTGTAATTCCTAAAAGGCGACAGAAGTTCAGAAAATGAGGCCCTCAGCTTTGTTTTCCAGCAGCTACTTTATTGAGGAGACACATGGACAGTATGCTCCCCATCAGGAGATCAATAAGAAAGAGGATGAGTAGAACAAGAAAAGGTCATATGTAATAAGGCGGTTAACAGCGAACAGATTTTACGAACAACGCTTACTGTAGAGACAAGTTCGTAATTGAACTTCAAATTTTCAAAAACCACCTGATCCCGTGCCACCAAATTGGCATTTTTTATGTTCTCATCTAGCAACTTGTGACTTTGGTTCACCAGACGATGTTCATGTTCCAGTGCGTGATGTTGGATTGTCAGATCGATTAATTTGCTTTCCAAATAGGCGATCCTTTCTTGTAGTGGGAAGTAATTTTGATCCTGTGAAGTATATTAATTCAACAAGGACCGGAACGTACATTTGCGTCGCATATTCCTGCAACACTGAGCACGAATGGTTCCATTGCATCAAAACCGGCCATCTGTGGGAAGTGAAAGTACCGAAACCTGTATGATGGTCTCAGTTGACCTCTACAAACCTGGGAAAGAAGCCGCCCACCTTGAGTCGATTGCACGAGCTAATGGTCCCATTGTTTTGAAATCAATCTGAGCCACACCACTGATCACTGCGCAGGGAATACCGCAATCGAACTTACCCTCATTCTCATCATTCTCATCAGCAGAATTACTACAAAGAGGCTATCGCATTTTTGACCTGAACAATCGCAGGATGAACAACTGAATTTTACCGCTTGAATGCTTGTAACACAGAATATGACATGGTAACAAATGTATTTATTACATTTCCAAATTTTGAACGGATTTTGAATAAAAAGCAGCTTATGGTTCCGGGTTATGAAAATCCTTGTGTCTAAGGATGGTAAGGATATGAAAAGTTGGTGTGCGACAATGGTATCATTAAAAGTGAATCTACGTATATTCTGGAGCATTAGTTTACTACCGCTGATAAAATTTACTTCATCAGATAAGCAAATTTGAGCCGGAAAAACGAATAAGGCCGCTTTTGGACTAATTTGTTGTTGGCGAGAGACTCAGGTGAATCTCAACTGATTATGTTCAACTGAATTTGCTGCACAGAATTTACTACGCTGTTGAAGTCGTCGTGGTCTAGTTTATTAGTGGACCACGTAGCTCCACCTCCTGTTTACGTCAACTCCATTTGCAAGTGGGCGTATTTCACCAACTGCATACAATTTGATGTTTAAGTTGAACATGAAGCTGACGGAAGCTCGGGATCTGCACTCAAGTGCTGAACCCGAAGTAGGGCGAAAAAGGACACGGATTTTTGAGGGGTGCTCTACCAAGAAACGGTAAGCTCCTTTCGTTCTTAACTGAAATAACCTGTTCTGCAACTACTGTTAATTATGGGGGGATTTCACCTTTACAGTGCAGGGGTGCATAGACCGTCCTTGAGTTATGTACTTTCAACTCCATTACGCACCTAATCCAAGTACCGGAATCGATAACGTGTTGTGACAAGAGATCGGGACTAACTCAAGCTTACACATAATGCCCCACCTAGAAAAAGTACACTGACTTGAAGAACTAACTGAAATTGAATCGTCAACATGTACAACAACAACCAAAATGAATAGTACGAAATGATAACTCACACTATCCTCACTCAACCTTTTCACCGCCGGTAGAGCGTCCGTATCCATGGGAGGTTTGAGGGCTGTACCATCGTTAAACGAATTCTTCGCTGATACTACTGTTGGCGTCGATTCTCCACGCCACATCTAATAAAAGTAATACTTGAACGAGTCACGTTATCTGTCTGTGTATTAAAACACTAGTAGCACAACTGCTATTGTATCACACAGCAGACCAGATCGGAGCGTAAAAATAACTATCGGCCGTACAAATTCCCACAACGTACAAACATCACCCCCGTTTATAAGCATGCGTTTTGGATGGGAAGAATTGCTGAGCCTAGGTACTTAAATTTCTATACAAGTGTATGATGTCATTTGAGCTAACGCCAAATAAACAACGGACAACTCATTCGTAATGCACTACTTGAAAGGTTACCGAAAATCCTTCGACAATCCACGACCGGTTTCGTCCTACTTAGGGCTCATCAGATGGGCGCAGTCCTCGAGTTTCCGTCAACCTTATGTTATACTTGAAATCAAAATGCACGAACTTAGCGAAACATACTCATTTGCAAACAGATTTGCTTTTGCGAGAGACTCACCTGGAACCCAGCTAAATCTGTCGTTTGTGATGTTTCCAGGCAACTGAATGTGCTGCACCAGGCCACCTCATGTTTCAGTCGCTACGATATTCGAGATATCGTGATACATGTTTATTCGTAATGCACTACTCATAAGGTTGCTGACTTAACTTCAACTCAAGGTTTCCTATGAAATAGTATCAGCTCGAATCTGATATCAACAAATTTGTGCATGGATTCGTAGTCATTTCAAAAGCCATACCTTTGAATTGGAATTAAGTGGTAATTTAGTTCTATTAAATAGTGTAAGCCGGTGCTGTTGCCAAAGTGTACTCAGGAATTCAGGTTGTATGAAATGTGAAGCAGAAAATGTGCTGGCGGTCAGGTGAAAGCATGCACTGAAAGCTGCTAAACAAGGAGCACTTTGTGGAGATCGTACAACACTCTGTACCAGTTCACCAGGTACGTTTAACAGAGTAAAGTGTGAAAGTGATTAGTAAGTTGGAGAGCCCTGGGGCAAATGGATGCCCAATGCCTGGTTACTTCCGTGATTGAAATTGTGAAAAAACTGAGGACTCTCAGTCGTTCAAGGAACATGGGGAGAGGAAAACATGTGGTTTACACTTTAAATACATAAAAAAGATCCAAAGGCAACCACCATCCTGCTGTTTCTATTTACTTTCTAAAGTATACAGACAGAGCGGATTCGCAAAGGAGGCTCCTACCAACACGCGAAAATTGTCCAACTGATTCTGATGGATTAGTTCTGACGCTACCCACGGAAACATCAGCAACACCACAGATAGAGTTTTTTGAAAAAATCAAACGGGGGTTTCTCATTAGTGTGGTCACCACAAATCTATCTCATATTTAGTTAGGGGCGGATAAGTAATTAGAGGTTCCAAAGTTACCCTAATCACTTGTGCGCAAGAAGTTAGGTTGAGCAGTATAGACGAGGAAGAGAGAAACAAATGGAGTACTGGTTGTATTTACATCTATTACGCTGCGGTCCGTAAGTCTTACCTTGAAGAAATTTATATTTATTTAGTTACATTTAGTTTGAGATCACCTGCATTAGAACAAACTAGATTTTGTAGAATGTCACTTTCTTCTACAGAAATGAAAGCTACTTGTATATAGTTTAGCGTAAGACTTCAAATAAGCTATTCTGAGCATCCATACAATATCTTCGATTTAAAGATGGTCCGATCAAATTGGATTTGAGTGGCCTCGGAATCCACAGTTGCGATATCTCTGAATTGTTCATTCAGTTCAAATTTCCGTTGATAGTAGCGAAATAGACTCATCTGCAAAAAATATTGGTCTTGCGCGAGACTCACCTAGAACTTAGCTGAATCTCTGGTTTATGTTTCTAAGCCGTTCATGGTCTCTGAGTCATTAATTTGAGCCGTGCTACGGTTGAATGCAAATGATCCTTCCGTGGATGAGTCACGGTAATTATTTGTCCCTTTGCGACTGTGCGCAGCTAATATCGACTCAAACGTGCTTCCATTGGATTAAAAAAATAATTAGTGGTCTTATACGTGCGCAAATACGTTGAACGTGTATAATGAGTTCATCGACAGACAGAGACAACTTACACAAACAAGATGATGACAATGATCATTTAACACTTTTCCGCGCATATGCCTTCAAGGTAAGAATCACGAGTCCAGAAAAGCCTAATTTATCTAGCCCCGCTGAACGCCAAGCGTAACCGTTTAAAAATTATATCGGTACACTAAATAGTATCCGTGTAATGGTGTTATTTAAGTTCGGTCAGCAAAATTCCAGTTTAGGAAACACTCTAATCACTAGTAATTCCGGTTGGGTATTAATTCCAAGTAAACTGCTTTAGGTTCACCATTAGCCCACCTGTGGCCACAAAGCAGCAGGAAAAAACACAGGTGACAAATCGCATATAAATTACCTTGTTGTGCTTAGGCGATAACTAGGGAAAATTCATGGTTTGTAGATTGGTTTTCTTACCTTTGGAGAACTCTTCTTTGAAGATGGGGCGGAAGTAATTGGCGTGCTTACCTGTTGTAGGTTGAAAAGATGTTTTCGTTTTTAACCAGGATTTAAAAATACCCTTTTGTTAGTTAAAATCACTGCAGAAAAGCTTGTAGTTGCGCATTTTGTCGTCATTTGAGTTGCCTGTTGAGTTTTTCACAACGTTAATTTTTTAGTCAGATGGCATCCGTGAATTACAAGTGGACTTTACGGAAATCGATACTAGATGGCAGGTTAGCTCTCGGTACAAGGAGGTCAGCTGTTATTAGATGTGCTGAGAGAAAAGTTTGCAATTGCTTTTACTGCCCTTTGGAAGTAGTGCGGTTGCATCAGCTTAAATCCAATGACGGTGACCGAATTTCACCCAAGCTTCAGTTTTATTTGAACACCGACCTGTGCGTGGATGATATTTCTGTTAGACACATTTTTGTATCGAACTGATATGAAAAAAGGTTTCCAGAGGAGCTTCAAACATAGTATTTACACACTAAGTTACCCAAAGCGGTTAAACTGAAGAGTAACCTCACAAAGTGGCTTTTATCCATTTTTGTGTTATTAACTTTCAGGAGCTTTGAAAACGGTTCAGTGTAACTATTGAAGTAACTGTCAGACGTGATGAACAGTTGAAATTTAATGTAAGGGATGAGGAGAAAGCCTCCGGTTTCCAGCAAATCGAAAACACAGGAAGTTAGTCAAGTAAAGTGGCATGAAGATATCAAATATTAGCCGAAATAGCATCTCTGCCTACTCAAGTACTCTTGGTAGTGGAATAAAAATTTCTGGGTGACGTAAAAGTGGGCTAGCCGAATAGTAATCTAGGGTCAATGAATTTTTCCGACAGCATTCCGGAGTTGGACAAACTCAGTAAGCAGGTCGCAACAGTCAAATTTCGCAGATTTGATGAAAGCATTCTAGAACTGATTCTAGAAAATGGGAATATTGTTCGACAAAATCGGTCTGAAAAGCACAGCATCAGAAACAATTTGTAGCGCTGTAATCAATCTCCTGTCAAGGATGCATATTCCATTGAACGTTTGGTCTTCAGCTGCTTCATATATGACATCAGCCTCAGGTGTATCATGCCGTAGCGCTGTTCGGTCATCGGATTCTGGGACTGAGTAATCTGAAAGTTTGAAAGTATCCCTGTTCTAATCTCTTTATAATGAGGTAGACAATTAATGAGCTCATTTCAACCGCGAGAATGGTGCGTTACACTAGATTACGCCTTATCACTCGCGCCTGGGTCAAGCTTTTGCACTAGAAGTTTGCTAGAGCGGAAGACACCTTAGTAGGTATGTTCGAAACAAAGGGGAGTATTACCCGGTAAGATTTAGTAATTGTTTCAACTTTTGCTTCTATTTGGTCATTCCATTATCGGTGGATGCTACTTCTAGATCTCGTGGGCGTTTTATAAACTGGAGAAATGCGACAACAGGGGAATCGGTGGATAAAAACCAAGGAACTTTGAGGTAACCACGGATGTACGGAACGTCTTGTGATTTATTTTGAACTCAAGCTATCTCCCACAAAGACCCTAAGGGGAAATACGCATGAGTCATTCCAGGACGGGAAAGCCAATTACATGGTGTATGTTACTGTGCACTGATAGTTTCCGTGTAACATTGTCTTGCTGCGCAGTTAATTGATCATCAAAATCCACCTACCTGTACATTACGTGAAGGTGGACGAGGTAGATGACCATGGATTTAAACGTTTTGACTCACTGTCCTATTTCACACGTCAGTCATGATACACAACACCAGGTTCACATGCTATTCTCATAGATTTTAAGCTATTTACTGAAATACCTACAGTGTCCAGAACACACAGCCATTTGTGTCATCCCTACAACTACTTTGACCAGGTTTTTCGTCTCTGGGGCATATATTCGTCTTTTGTATGTAGGTTTGAGGGTTGGGCCCACCCGGACCAAAAACCTAAACTATCGACCAAGAAAAGATACCCTCGTAATATGTACAGTCCACGAAAAATGACGTGAAGTGAACTCCAAGATGAACGATTTCCGATGAATGCAGTTAATAGCACACATTTTGTTCTTGGGTTGAAGTCGCTTTGTCTCAACATAAGATTGTTGATGGTTATGCTCAAGTGATATGCGCAGGATGTCATAAGTTTCGGAGAAACGACTTTTGCCAGGCTTTCTGGAGGGAGCATAATGTCAGTACAAGCCCAGTTTCTGTTGACAAGTAACACGTTCTACGTTGGCAGTGAAAGTCCTGAAACTAGATGTCTACTCACTAGGATACTGGGAAGCAATGCTGGCTCAAACCAAATGAATACAGTGTAGTATTCTGCTTTCACTTCCATTACAATCTGTTAGACAGATTTGATGGGAATAGGACTACAGACAACCAGAGTATCGACGAATTGGTGATCCTTCTGGGGGAGCCCGCGTCTCATCTCATTAATTCTCCGACAACGCTGCTATTTGTGTATTCAAATTTAAATATGCAGCAGCGGAAATTCGAAAGTCAGATAAAACTTCTTCTGCTAAACATACTAAGGTTTTGTCTAGGTTATATTTGCGCGTCGCTGCGGCCAAAACTCTTCATAAACTATGACTAGGTAGGAAACGCATCCTATTCATTGAAAGTACAATTCTTAATTGACTTCTAAGTAAGAAGATGACAAAACTAATGAGGAACTACCGCCTGGATTTTAAGCCTTTCCGACCAATAGAAAATAACGTTGATTGTGTTCACATTTCTGAAGATTTGTAGTTGAATACAAGTCTTTAAGCTACCGTGGTCTGCCATCTTAGCCAAGCTGTTTTTCGGGACCTCCAATAATGCCCCTGATGCACTTAAGTTACATTGTGTTAGCCTGATTCTGTATTTTGATAGGCTGGTATGTACTCGACAAGATGCCCAAGCTGTTGGAAGGAGCGTATCGAAATAAAGCTGTCCCATACACACCTAAGTATCCGTAACTAGCCTATCCAGAGGCGTTGAAAATAGTTATCTGCATAGGCAGATTTACATGAGGAAATATGAGGCATGAAATAACGTAGTATCACCAGCCTATTGGTGCAAACCCCAAGCAGCTTACTGGCTACCCACCACAGGAATCTCAGACAAGTGCAATCCTGTGCAGGCGAAATGATCCGAATAAGCATTACGCCGATGGCAGAACACCCTCCAGTCAAACTTTGCGAATAGACTAACTAGGTCGACATACGGAAGAGACGGGTTTCAGTGACTGTTTTTTGAGAGAAATCAACGCGCTCCAAAAGTGGATGATTTGGAATGGCCTGTCATAAACTTTACTAACACCATAAAACTTATACGCAGCTATTTGAACGAGCTGATGAGCTGGATGTCATGTAGATTTTGATCTACGGCAGCAAAGCACGGCAGCTGTAAACACTGATGTGATGTTGTCAAAGACGACGATGAGTATGATGATGATGGTGACAGATTTCGTTAATTAATGCTCTTTCGTTACATCCTTCAGTGAGGGAAGTTAGTTTCCAAACCGTTCATGTGCCGTTCCGAAGGCCACTTCACATGATGGCAAAGACCGGATGTTCTCTCTACCTGATATTCACAAGTCTGTCAACTATTCAGGATGTTCAATCGGATTTTTTTTCGTTACTGGTCCCCACAATCTTTGTCAAACTCCCGAGCACCGATCTGTCAACTAAGTTGTTTCCTCTAGATCATGTATAGTGAGGATACAATTCAAACGGTGAAATGTAACCGAGTAATTCTTTGGAAAACCTACTGTGGTACCACACTGAGTCATCCATTTCAACGTTGAATAATAATGGCATTGCTGTGTGACGCTAATCTCGACAAAACTGTAAGTCTCATACACCGCCACGTTGTACTGATGGAACAAGTGGTTGTTCCAGAGGTTAATCGTGACCTTCGACCCTGGATGTGGCATCTGTACAATTGCAAGTCGTGAGTTCGCTTCGGTAACAGAAAGCATTATCAGGCTGAAGGGGTGTTTCAGTGCGTTGGAATTCTAAACCATAAGCACCTCCTCAATATAGACAAGTTCTCTTCGTTGGTTCCCCGTGATATTACTATCCCCATACACCACCATGTGGCAGGAATGCAGACGCTACTGTGATACAAAGGCTACCAGAGGAAGATAGTCGTCCTACAGAGAAAGTGGCTAACTTGAAGACAGCTAACATCTTAACTATGGACATCATGGCCTATATGTTATATGCTATACATGATAAACCCAAGACTTGTGAAGCCATCAACTTTCAGTTGCCAATTCCGTATTTGTGCCTCTGGCTGCTTCGACTATCTGTAGCAGTAGCGTCCAACATGCAGGATCCTCCTGGTAACTCTGCCGTTGTAGTTAGAACTATACTATGCAGCCTTCCAAATTCCAGCGTTAAACATACTAACATTCACTTGACAACAACAATCAAAGGCTTACGCCAACTTGTGAACTGCTCCTACGTTTATAAAAAAAACTGGAGCTTGTAATTTATAGCGCCAAACGCACTACAAACTCCTCGATATTCAGTGCATTTGAATTCTGACCTGCCACCACACCAAGAAGGATATACTGTTGTCTGCCTGCTTAGATTGTCAACCTAATGTCTTCTTGTTGCATACTCATATGCGCGAATGTCCTTTGTCCGTCCAGTGTGTCTTCCAGTTAGCTCCCGCGTCTCACCTCACCCGCGTTTTCTATTAGTCAATCATCGTGCCATGACACGCGAATATGGATTACAATAAGGTCTGCAAGTCTCTCCATTCACAACTTCTCAAACTCCCAAACTTTTCGGCAATCTCGACTGTATCGATTTCACAAAATACATGAGTTCAAATACCCTTATCGGGATACTGCTTGCTACTGCTACAGTGGATTACTTTTCTAGCTTCACTTTCACGGCCCCATTAGCTAACATTCTATAGTAGTGGTTTCAGCAGGTTGACGCTTACCATTACAGTAGCTAAAATGCATTTCATCGGAAACGGCCAACTGAGAAAATTTCAGTTATTGCGGACATTTGTGAAGCAAGCTTTTGAGCCTAAGTTTAAAAGCGTCACTGCTTGAAAGTTTTTGGATATGAAGGTCGGTTAAAAGTCCAGTGACCTAATACCTAATGGGAGTGTAATTCTTTAGTTTTGGTTTCGGGAGGAAAAATGTAGCAAACTGCTATCAAAGGTAAAAGCTTTTCAGATGGGGGGCACGACAACATCTCTTTTAAAATGAATATTAATGTCTCAGTTAAGGCCCAATGATTCCAGTTTAATCATGCATCCACAAAGGGATCGACCGTGGTAGAGACAGACACGGCGGTAGGTAGATAGGTCGACAGATAGATAGATAGATAGATAGATAG